AAAAAAAACCCCAAAAAAGTCAGGGACTAGCTTTTTATTGGTGGAAATCTGTTTTCAGTAAGATATCTGAAACAATTAGCTGTAGAAGTAGAGTATTATACAAATTCCAAGTCCATAGGAAAGCAAAGTATTCAGTAGTAAAAAAACAACTGAACTCCTGTAAGCTTTAATTTAAAAGAAAGCTAAAGTCTGATGAACGCCCAGAAAAAACTGCTTTTGAATATTTTCTTTTTTTCAGTCCTCAATAAAGATCCCGATTTGAAAAAAATTGGGAGTCAGTAAGCACAGAGAAACTACTAAAGCAAATGCAGCTCTAATATATTTGGTTGAATCCTTCCCAACTATGATGATATTTGTCAGAAAAGCCCTCTTATCTGAGAAAGAAGGGAAAAGTGAAGTGGGGACGAAAAGTTCTTGGAATTTTTTTTTTCAGAAAAAGTAATAAAAAATTTTGGAAATATAGAGAGAATAGACAATTCATCAGAGAAGCCTTAGACAGGAAGTTAGAGTGCTAAGGGACTTGGGGAACTCTGGGCCGTGTGGAGATGACATTGTCCTCATCACTTGAATACCAGTCAAAAATTTTAGACAGCAGTTGACCTTATTCTTCCTCTTTGGACAGATGACGCTTTCCAAATGATGCTGATGGTGCTGCCAGCAGATTAATTTATAGATCTTCAGATAAAACTTTCCCAAGCTCAGCCAGGTGATCAGTCAGGGCACAGTGCAGAAAAATGGCTATTGATGCTTTTCCTTTCCCCTCTCAGAACATTCAGAACATCTTTCTGCTAATCCTTCTCTGGACTCAAGCTCAATTCTTTTTTCTGCTGTTTTCATAGGTCTCTCTTCACCACTGTTTCATTGTCTATAGGAGGCAGTTTTCTATATGAGGGACAATAAGGTGTCTCATCAACCCCATGGTGTCATGTATTTCTTACTTTCCATTTCTATCCTGCACTTCCATTGCTTCTGTCAATATTTGTTTTCTTTCCTTTCACCACATCAGATGTGCCCAGTGTGTCTGTAGGTACTGGTCCTCTTGTTTTGAGAATCAAATGGCTTCTCAGCTGTCATCTAGGCACTTTATTATTTTCCTTTATACAATATTTTTTGAAAGTTAGAAAAATGAGCAGAAAACAGAATAGTAATTATCAGATAACATCTATCTCAGCCAGATACTTTTTCCCCCCAAGGGCAATATGTAGGAAGGTGTAAGGTAATCAATGATGAGCAGAGTTTTCTTAGCACATGGCTGTAGAGCAACACTGGGAAAACTCACTGTGAGAGTAAAAGACCTTTAGAATGTAGTGGTTTTTCTTCACTCTTTTTGAGAATATTTCCCCAGAAATGTCTATGTTACATGCATTTTGGGTGATCAACAATTAGTCCCTGTGCAAATTGTTGTGACCTTGTTTTTGCTTGGGTAGAGACAACACTGGGGTTCTGCTCACTTTTTCTCTTTATATGGAAGCGCCTAAGATTATTTTATTTGTTTAATTTTAAAGCACCAAACTGTGTAATGATATTTGTGTTTACTTTGATAACCAGAAGTTAGTAAATCTTTAACACTTCCCTATATCTTAATTCTTCTTGGAAAAATTCAGATCTTTTAATGATCATTCATGAATGCAAGTGGGGCAAACATTCTAAGATATTCTCAAGTCATAGAAAAATACAGAGTAAAAAAGTCTAAAAATTGAATAGAAATACAAGGAACACAGTGTGGAAATTTCATAATATTTGGGAAATGACACATTTCAATGCAAAATGTAGCCATTTGCAATTACAATTTATTCTAATTGTATTCCAGGTACTCTATATTTATTACTTGCCTAAGGAAATCCTACTTCTCTCCTTTTGGCTGCGATCTTTAACACTGCAGCATTTATATTTATTTATTTATTCCCACAAAGATCTGTGAGTTTTCTTTTCCTGATAACTGCTTGAAAGTTACACTTAGACTTGAGACAGTACTGGATATGTACCTGAATCCTGCCCAAAGAAATGTGTAGGGTTTAGAACTGGCCTGATTCTAATGGAGTGGAGTTACACAAAAAAAGTCTCAGTCAGCTAGGAGCAGGGTCATGGATGAGCTTTGATGAGTTGTTTTATCAATGAATTCCACACTAATACCAATGGTGGGGGGTTTTTTGTTTGTTTTGTCCAGCTTTTACTGTCATTTTGTGTAGTTTTCTTTTTCCCCACCTCAAGAGAATTTTTAGTATGGAATAATGATTTGTTAAATCAGAGGATCTTTTACTGTATAGGCACTCACTATAATCTGAGAAAGATGTCAGGACACCCAGTCCTTATATCTATAAATGAGCTAATTAAATTAAATTAAATTATGACTATGACCATGTAGAGACTTTTAGGAGCATTGGGTAAAAAGAAGTGAGGTGTAGTACTGGAGGTATGGGAGGACAGTGAGGATGGGGGTTGAACAGGTGATTGTGCTCACTTGTATTAGAACGTTTTCTGTGGTAAGAAAAGTGGATGGTGTCCTTTCTTTAAAGGATTAATTCTTTTATTTACTTATATAGGTGTGTATATACATGTCTGTCTGCTCATGTGGATGCAGTGAAGCCAGCAATTTTTAAATGTTGAATAAATCTATCTACAGGGTAAACTGCAGTGAACCTTCTAGAAAAATAGCTAACTGAATGATGTTTTCTGGATTTTCAACAAGTGTTCATTTATATATGTAAATAGTGCATTGAGGGGAGTTAGAATAACCCACCAAACAGCATTGATACTACTGAAAAAATACAAATAAATCTCTGTCTTGTCTCCATGAGCATCCTTGTTCTCACTGCTGATCTGTTTAATCTTCCAGTTTTCTCAGAGATATATTTTCTGGAAATATGTTTCGATTCTTTAAATTATTAATGCCATTAAAATTTATAATTTTCTGTCATTACCTCTAGGAAAATAGAGATTGTAATGTGAAACATAATTGTCTTATTTCACAATTTGTGTTATGATAGTTGAGCACAACTAAAGTGGATTTAAGTATTCCCCTGAGCAATGTGACGTGGTATCATAAACTAACTGAAGTTCTCAGTGTGCAGATAAATAAACAGATAAACCAATTCCACAAATGACCAATATCTGTGTTTCTGAGACATCTTTGAAAGGCTGTGTATCACTTAGAGGGGATGCAAAATGTGTGTGGTGAGAGCTGAACTGAAGGTTTGGATGATTTGTGATTTTTTTTTTTTTTTTTTTTTTTTTTTTTTTTTTTTTTTTGGCCATTTGGTCTGAGTGTGCCTACCAAGGGATACAGCCTAGGGAATTATGAGTTAAAGCTGTGCCATACAATTGTCTCTTCCTCTGACTTCAGCTTAGACATGCTGTGTGGTTTTAACACCCCTCAGATCCACAGGGGGGAAATCTGGAGGGGTCTGTAGAGCTTGTGGGTCTGTGTCTCCTTGCAAGGCTAGAAAATGCTGCCCAGCATTTCCTATTAAGCCTCAAAATCTTTGTCTCCTATAAGAATATATTTGTTTTCTGATTTACTGTTTTCACACCACACCAGTTGGTCTGTCATTAATGCAATGAATTTCACCTTTTTCAAGGTTAAAAATTCATGTTCCTAAAAAAACAATGGGAAATCAGCAAAGAAACACTAAATTGAGCCAAGATACAGTACTAGTCAACCATAACAAGTAATTATTATAACCCCATGGTCATTTCACTCACAGCTTGACAGAGAAAATGGGAAGAAAACAAAGTATTTTTTTTCTTGAATGTTAAATGTTCAGGGCCAGGTCCACTTCTGCTGATGATGCATCACAAGGTGTGGGCCCTGTTGGCCATGTACCTGCAGCCACACAAGTAACTTGTAGCCTCCTAAGCTGCAAGGGGCTGAGAGAGCCCTGTTCAGGCTGGGCACTGGGCTGGCCCAGCTGTGCAGCCAGGGCAGTCCAGCCGTGCTGGGGACAGGCTGATGTGACTTGCAGATGCTGCTGGTGGCCCTGGTGAGGAGCTCAGATGGATGGCAGGTGCCTGGCAGCAGTGCCTGCCTTTCCTCACACCTCACAGTGAGCTCCTGCCAGGGTGAAAACATTGCAAGCTACACTTTTGTTATGATTTCAGGATCATCTAAGCATGTGATTTTCAAACAGGGTTAAAAAAAAAAAAAAAAAAAAAAAGTTTTGGTTTTGTGCATTTCTTTAAACACAAAATGTGTAAAGCATGGTGTTGAGCTGTTTTCAGTCTCCCTATAAAATCAGTAGTAGGTGCAGGCTCCTTCTGGAGCTTGCAGTCTGATGGATTAGGAGGTTGGGGTGTAAAGGTCTGCAGAGAAACTTTAGAAATTGTGAAGCCTGGAAAGAAAAGCAGCCTGTCCTTGAGGTCTCCTTATATCTCATCCCAGATTATTCTGTGTGCAGGAACTGATGTTACTAAATGTGTCAAACCCCTCCATAAAGTTTCTCCTATTTTTTATTTCCTAATACAGACAACCTCAAAAGACTTCCATGAGTCATTATCAGGATTAGTCTGTAGAAATGATCTACTGTACTTGTGGGAAAAGTGCTTTCTTGTAATGTTGTTCACAGGTGAAAGAGCCATATTTTCTGAAGACTGTTATATTTTTCGATTGTTATTTTGTCCTGAGGATATAGTGAGGTCCTAGTCTGTCAAACTAAAGGTCTTTCTATATAAATTTCATTTCAAGGCTCTTTTTCTAAAATTTTTCTTAAGAAATCTATTGAGACCATTTTGGTGCTTTCCTTTGAGGAGCTACATCTGCAAAATTGTAGTATTGTCAAAATAGATGTTACTGTGTTAGGCTGTTGCTGTTTTATTTTGTTTCAGATGATGTATAAAAAAAACAGCTTTGTTGTTCCTAAACACAAAATACTGTTTGCCTAACATGTGCATCTGTAACGTTTTTCTCCTATTGTCTTTGAAAAAACATTTAACCAGTAATGAAATAAATATATAAAATGTCTGGACAAATATATGTTTTTAAATGACTGTGTCTCCATTCACAGGAAATCACTGATAATGAAATATTAGAGTTGGTGCATAGTGCTCTGGGGAGGATGACAGTTATCCGGCAAATTTTCCCTCTGTCAAGGGACAACAACCAGAGGTGCATGAGAAACAACCACCGGATATCATCCCTGCTGTGTGATCCACAGGAAGGCTATCTTCAGATGCTGCAGGTCAGTAGCTGTGCACAGCAGAAAAATGTCCATCTTAGGAATTTGTCATGGGACAGTTTTCTGTGGCTGTATTAACTCAGAGGAGGAAAGAAATGAATACAGATAAATCTGAGGATGTAACCCTTGGTCAACTCTTCTTGACTTTATTAATTTATTTTATTTCCCAGTGTTTAGTGTTTTAGGTGTGATGTTACATCCATGAAGTATCAGCAAGTGGTTGCACTAATTCAGAGCTGATTTTGCACATTTCATTCTCTTAAAAATCTTCTTATATTTGAAAAATTTTGTGCCATCATAGTCCTATGGCACTTCTGCTTGCTTACTGTATTTATGCTTATTAGACATCTGTTATGAAAGAGTTAATCTGGGAGGACAATAGAACTCTGATAGGTATTGGGCTGCAGAGCATTTCATATTTAGCTAATGGACTGAATCAAGCTGATGTATTCAGTCTGTCCCTTTTCAATAGTCTCAGAAGTCATCAACAGCTGATAATTGAGTGTGTAAAATATGCACTGCTAGTTCAAGTTTCAGGTTTTGATAACACATTTGACTCTGGTGTTAGCAGCATCTTGACATTTCTGGGCAATTTGTCCCAGATATCAGAATTTTTCTTCCAGTAATTTAAATATTATCTAATAGGTGCCATTTCCACTGATAGTGCAATATTTCAGAAACAAAGGCCTTGGACTTTCAATGGGACTCATGTATTTTTGTTTACTTTAGACACAGTTAAAAATCTCATTTGTATCACTGCTGAAGGTGTTGGATATAGCTATAAACTTTAGTGGGACTTAGAATATAAACTCAGTTAAAACCATTTAATTGAAAACTTAGTCTTAAATGGGGATGGGTTGAGTGAGGACACAGTGGTTGAACCTATGGGCTCTCCAGTGTGGGTGTGCGTGGTGGAGTCATTGAGAGGGGCTTGGTTAGGCTTGGGGAGGGGCTGTCACCAGCCTGGGCTGCTGCAGCCTGGTCAGGAGGTCAGGAGGGTGGCATCAGGACTCCTGCAAGATGGAACTCCTGTCCTGGTCTGGAAGACTTTCAGATCAGGAGAGACAGGGAGATTGTCAGGAAGGGAAGTGGATTAAGATTTTCCAAGGGATAGCGGTGTTAATTTTACTTATTTGCACCCTACTAAAAAGTTGTAGCTGCAGAGACCGAAATCCTTTAAGGGACAGATACGAACAGTTCCTCCTTGAGGAAAAGCTCTATTGGCTCAGGTTCTGTCCTAGCCATGGCAAAGTTTGGGAAAAGCCAAACACACCCCCTGTAGTTCTGAGCATGGCTGTATTCTTTTTGCACAGGGGAAAGTCCTGCCTTGGCTTAGAAAGAAAAGACACTTTTGATCTTTGTTAGTAACTCTGAGGTATGCTGTAATGAGAACAAAGGCCGCTCATTTCAGAGGATCAAAGCAATTTCCACTATGACGAAAAATTATCTATGCTGCACCAACAAATCACACATTGGGGAATAATCTTCCATTACAGCAGGATTTTGAGTATTGCTGCCTGTGCTGGTTTATGCATAATCTAATTCAGACTCATCTGAAGGACTCATCTGACAGGCCTACGAGCAAGTTCTAATTTGCAAATTTGCAAACTGGTAACTGGTAACTGGTTTGCTAGCACCAGCAGCCTCCTATTACTAAATGTCCTATTACTAAATTTCATTGATAAGGACTTTTAGATAAGGACTGTCTTCCTGCTGATTTTCAGATGTGGATTTTAGGAAACAAAACATTTCTCAGTTTCTATCTTCCAGAAATATTATGCCACTTTAGAAACTGTCTTTGAGAGAATGGTATGGTAATGTTATGCTTTGCCCATTAGTTCCTTCTCTATGAACTTAAAAACAAGAGATATAAAGAAGTGCAGAGGTGAAAAGTTTCTAGCAGCTGATTCCACAAATTTCATGTCCAATTGAATTGGAATGCAAGACAGAGGGCACATGTGAGAGTTCTCCAAATTAACTGTCCCCAGTATATTTTTAAATGTCTATAGATTGAATACTGGATGCTTTTATCATGTGCAGTTACACCTGAAGTGCTCCATAGCTGCATTTATTTTTCATAGATTTTGCCAAAATACCTTATGTGGCACCTTGCAGACATACAGCTCATATTAATTTGAGTGTGACTGACATGTTATTAATGGTCCTGTAATTCAGGTACTTGCAATTTTCTGTTTCCTTTTTCTTACTTAAAAAAAAAATAGCAGTGACCTTTTGCTGTACAGAAGTACATCACTGAATTACCCCTGTTGCCAGAGGCTGCAGGAGCTCCAAGCCCCATGTCAGGCTGCATGAATCCACCAGAGGCAGTGACCGCCTGCCAGCACTGAGTCTTTGTGTTACTTTGAAGTACTTTGATAAACACCACAGCTTGGAAATCCCTGCCTCATTCTCCCTCGGGCAGTCTCATATTAATAATTGTTTGTTGTCAAGGTAACTTACCAGCTATTGTTGGTTAATTATTTATTTAATGACTTTGAAAAAGAATAAGCTAATCTCTGTCAACCTCTAGCTGTAGTATTTTTCTAGGGGAGAATTTAGCACTTTTAACAAGCTAGTGAAGAAAGAAACATTTACGTCATGGATTATTAACTTTGTTCTGGCTAAATTAATGAAAATCTTTTTGGAACGATTTTGTTCTCTGTGTCTTTAGTACCACATCCTGGAAGGTTGTTTTTCAGTGGGTGATCATCCCAGTTTGGCATTCTGACAAGCCTTTTAAAGATCAGGCTGTTCTGCAAGCTCATCCAAAAACTCATCTGTTCTGAATGCTTTGTGGAAATCCAATCTTATTCCATCAACCCACTTGTCAAAATTTTGCTCATGCCCTTATTTCTTGCACGTATAATATACTCAGCTGGGTTTCTGCTTCAAGTGGAGAAAAAGCTTTATAAAGTTTCCTGTCTTGATAATTTTATTTGACTTCAGAGGACTGGATTTCTCTCTGTCTTATTCTTCAGGTAGGACTTTTTGTGTCCATCTCATTTATTTTTGGTAAATGGAAAAGACACAGTTTAGAACTTGCTTTCTTCCATTGGCCACTGGTATCCTGTGGTTGGGGCAATCAGTGTTGTCAGTGTTGCCTCATCTGGAGAGAAAGTACTGAAGCACTTCAGAATTTACAGCTAAATCTAGTTAGTCCTAGTCAGACCTGGCATGTATCCTCACATGGCATTTGAATGGTATATAGTGGTATAATTGATACTAAACATTTTAGATTATTTCAGAAATATTCCCAAAGACTCAATTTGAAAAACTTTTGCTTTATAACTTGATTATTTCCAAAATAGTTCCCTTTAAGTATTAGTTTTCATGGCATTCTACAAACTTGATTTTTTTTATGAAGGTATTTCTTTCTTTCATCAGGTTAGTCACAATGCATTCATAAATTCAAAATCAGATTTTTGTTTGTTTATGTTTTATTAAGAAAGATTTCTCTTTAGAAATGTAGTTCCCGTTACTTTGTTTTTGCCCTTGCTTACCATTTATGCAGTTGATGAGTTCAACCAGTGTAATATTCTAAACATATTAAAATATATTACAGGGACACAATGTATTTGAAATCATTCAGCATGACTCAAAATACATAGTAGGATTTAAAAGGAAAAAAGAAAACCCAGCATACTGTGTAACAAAATTGATGAGGTTATTTCTGATTGAGAGTCCAGCCTTTCTGCTGAAGAACTATTCCAGGCATTGCTTGGACATATATGAGGAGATGTTGAGAAGTGTGGGAGGGTATTCATTGAAAGAGCTAATTTTCTGCTTGAGTAAAATTTCCATTCTTCAGTGATATGTCCATCAGATATCTATGTAGGCATCTCAGCAGTTGCTCCTACAAAGCTGGGTTTTTATTTCTGATCTATTTTCTGTTCTTGAGTGCCTAAACTTAAGGGCCTGATCTTGCAGTTTTGTCCAACTAAATGGCCTTATTCTCATTTGGCTTGTTAACAATTGTAGAGTACTACTGAGGGGCAGTAAATATTGATTAAACCCTATTAAAGCATTCACTTTGTCCCATAAAGGATTGATGAGCCACATTTTTTCTTTTCCTCCAATGCAAACCTATATTTGCTATTCTCTTTAGCAATGTTTTATTTGGATTTTTGGCCAGATATTCAGCCACAGTGAAATTGTTTCTGAGTACAATGTGAACGTAAAGTATCCTTGAACTGACTTTACTGCCCATTGCACAGCACAGATCTCTCCCCAAAGCTCAATGACGTGTGTTTTCTACAAGGTGTGTTAGCAGAAGTATTCATTAAAAACCCCAAAGCACTGCAGATGTCCCGTGGCAATGGGGGATTTGTGATCACACTGGAGGCTAAAACCCCACGTAAGCTCTGCAGTGGTCTTTTCCTCTCTGCCTCTATTGACTGCTGGATTTTTCTATTTGCATAATTATTTCATTGAATTTTTGTTCACTGCTCAATCAGGAAGCAGACACTAGCAGCTCAAAGAAAGCATCAGTACCTCCATTTTTCATTTGTTATTGCCTCTGAAACCTAATTTATACCTATATTTGTTTATAAATGAGGTAGGATAAAATTATAATCTTGTAAACTGTTTTGCAATTTCAGCATTTACCTCTTGTCCTTCTGTTTGACTCTTGGTTGTGTTCAGTTTTCTTTATCAAGGCACTCCTTCTAGACTTTCCTTGCATAGTTAGTGTTCTCTGTGCCAAGTTCCTGAGATGTTTAGTGAGTGAAGCCAATGCCTCCAGCTAACAAACTTGAGCATTACAGGGTAATCCAGTCCTTGTATCATTGTTGACATGTTGTTACAAAACATACTGGCAAAGAAAACACACATAATGGTGTTAAATGCCCATAATAAATAGCTGAAGGACTGTGAGCATTCAGAGAACAGAACCTGTAGGAAGGGAAGAGTGTTGTGATATGTGTAACTGCATAAAGAAAATTAAAAAGGAATGAAGAGCTGCTTATCAATTAAAAAGAGATTCTAGAGTTCAGTCTTGCAAAGAA